CCCCGGGGCGGTGCCTTTGCAGCCCAGGCTAGACCCCTGCCCCGCCTTCCACCCGCCCGCCGGGGCCACGGCCCCCTCCCCACCGCGTCCCTCTCGCCCCCGCGGGCTGCCGCAGTCCTACTGGGGCGGGCGGAGGGCAGGCGGCGGGCGGGCGGGTCTCCCGGAGGGCTGAGCGCACCCTCCCCGGTTCTGGTACCTACCTTCCTCTGGGTCGGGGTCCTTCCTCGTCGAGGTCCCAGCAGGTGGGGCGCAGGGGCTGCGCCGAGCGGCAGCGGGGTCGTGCGCCCCTCTTTTCCTGGCTGCCTCTCACTCCCTCTCCTTCTTCCTCTCCCTGTCCCTCTCTCAGCGCGGCACGTGGGCTAGCGCGCCGGCGCCTGCTCGCCACCACTCTCTGCAGTGCGGACTCGGGGCGGGGGCGCAGTGGCGGCGGAGCGCGGACCCTCCGCGTCGCCCCGGAGACCGCCGGGCCATTGGCGCGCGCGGGTCACGCGGCCAGGCTGTGGCCACCGCCGCGGGCACCCCGGGACTGCGCGTGACGTCACCTGCTCCTTCCCCCGCCCCCGAGGGGGCGCTGGCACAGGTGGGGATCCTGGGGACCCGAGAGCCAGTGCCCCCATCCTAGACGCAACCCTGCCCACCTCCCGCCCCTCCCGGAACATGCTCTCGGGGCGTCAGCCTGGCGAGGGGTCCATATCCCCGGGTGCCCACCAGAGAGCCGCTGGGCAGGCCCGAGATGCGCCCGCCAGCGCTGCATTCTGGCATGGGTGGAGCGCGGGATGGGGGCGCGTTCTGGGGCTCCTTCACCTGTTTCCGCCCCTCCTCCACTCCACCCAGACCGGGTCCTGTCCCAGCTAGGCGAGAAGCACTTCCTCCGGGTGCTACTACGTGGAATAGATGCCACCTGCGCACATGAGCGCTCGCACACACCACCGCAACCAGGGGTCAGCAGTCCCCATACTCGCGCGGGGGCCGTGGCCGCTGTGGGCACACGACGGGCCAAGATGCGTCGCTGCCCCAGTGCCAGGGCCCTGCCCCAAGGAGGGTGTCAAGGACTTTCCTGTTTTGCTCACTTCATGTCCCAATCCCAAGAACAGGCTTCTGCTACTTAGAGCTCAACCCCTTGGGCCTGTATCTTACCATGTGTCCTTGGGCAAGTCCTTGCCCCTTCTCTGGGCCTCAGTGGAGGGACAGAACTGGGGTCTCTACCTGAGGGTGTGTACAGGAGAGCCAGTGGGCTGGGCGTGAAGCGCTGGATGTGTCCCCTGCCCCCCTGTGCTCTCGCCAGCCTAATGAGCTCTGAGACATCTGCTCTCTTGGCCCCTGAGGGCAGCATGGGTGTTGTGCCTCCCCAGAGACCTCTGTCTGGTCCCGAGTCAGTCTTCTTCTACAGATCCTTCCCCTTTCCTTTGCTACCTAGGCTAGTCACTGTACCAAGGCAGTGCTGCCACAACTCAAAATGGAGTGCCAGCCCCTCTGGGTCTCGCCACCTTGCACCCATCCTGTCATGGGAGTCTGGGGCCATGTGGACAGCCTCTCCACCGGTCAGATGGCAGACAGGTTCCCTTGGGGTCACACCTCCTGGCGTTGTTGGCTTCTCTTTCCTTGCCTGCCTGGCATCTGGCCAGACATCCTCTTCTGTGACTTGCCTTTCACACTCAAGCTATACTGGTCAAGGTTTTCCTGAGTGTCCAGCTCACTCATGCTCCTTGTTGAATCACAGCCCTGGTTTATTTGTCTATGACCCTGTGGATGGGCGTTCACACTGTTCCCAGTCTTTGACTGTTACAGACACTGCTGCCACCAGCACCCTACGCATGCCTGTCTTAGCCGCTGTCGGCCTGACAGGCTCTGGAACGTACGCCAAGAAGTGGTTTTTCCGGGACTTGGGCTGTGCCCATCAAAGCCATGGCCAGGTGTTGCTAATCTGTTATCTCCCATGAGTGGCTGAACCTGTGTTCACTCCCACCAGCAGCATAGGTGTGGTCCTGTGTGCCCCCACAGCCTGAGCAGCCTTTGGTCTTGTCCAGCCTTGACCACTTGCCCACTCCCATGGAGAGAAGTGCTACCTCATTACTGTGTGCCTTGCATTTCCCTGGTCGGCAGTGAGGTTGGGCATCCTTGCACAAGTGTGTTGACCATTCCCAGTTCCTCTTCTGTGAATCTCCTTTGCTCATTTCCTCCCCACTGCTGAGAAGCCTCATTGGCCTGTTACTGGGAGAAAGTTCCTAGCATCAAGGGCAAAGGCACTCTCATTTTTTTCTACACTCACCCATCGCCCAGAAACAGGCCACATTGGAGTTGGTCTCATAGTGGGAGCTTGACTGGCCCATATGGTCTTACTCTCCCGACTTTCCTGTCTCTCAGGTGGTAAATGCTGGGTAAATGAAGAAGCACGAGTGTTCTGTCACAAACCAGCTTTCCCAGTCGGCCTCGTGTGTGGACCCCCTCCCCTTCTCCCCGCTGAGGGCCAAGACAGCCTCTCCTAATACAGGTGAACTGCTGCTCTAAACACCCACAGTGAGAATTTCTGTCCACCAAACCTTGGTGTTAGCCCTGCCATGGCTCGCACCCCACATTGTCCTCTTTCTTGGTTTCTGCCATGATTTATCTGGGGTCCTTCCTCAGAGAGGGTGCTCCCGTGGGAACATACATGGGTCCCGTGTCCCCAGCCAGCCAGCTGGCCTGCAGACCGACTGTCAATTCCTTCCCTCTGTTTTCAGCCTCGTCTCTTCCTACTCTCCTTCCTTCCATACCTGCTGACTCCAAGTCCAGGACTGTCTGGCTCTACCTTGGGGTGCCCATTACTCCCTCCCCCCGCTAGGGCTGGACTGTGATGCCTTGACTACTTTTCCTTTGTCACCTTTCAGCCCTCATTTTGCTCCACCTCTCAGCACAGTTGACCCTCCTTCCTTCTCACAACCTTTTCCTTTCTCAGCTTCTGTAAGCCCCCACCTTTGGGCTAATCTCCTCCCTCCCTGCCTGCCCATCATTGGAACTCCCTCCTCCTTCTCCTTTGCTTGAGTTCAGTGCGGTGGAGGTGGGCTCCCAGCCTCAGCCCCAGGACCTTTGGTGCCTCCAACGCCATTCTCGCCCAAAGTCCTCTCATCCGAGGGACCATCTGCCCGCTGATGGCTCCAAATGTTTTGTCTCTGGGTGGGACCCCCTTCCCTGAGCTCCTCATGTCCTCATCAAACTGCACGCTTGGATGCCCCATGGGAATTGCAGGATGAAGATGTCCAAACAGGAGCATTTCATCCTCCTCGACACACTTGCTTCTTCCCCGGGATTCCCCCAAGGGCTCCACCTTCCACCTGGTTGCTCCAGCAAAGATGCCAGGATTCTTTCTCCCCTCTCCTTTGTTCCTTATGCCCAATCTAACCCAATGTGGGATTTTATCCACTTTAATCGATGACTGCTGGCCCTCTCCACGTCTCCATGGTCTCCTGCTCTCCCAGCCTCCACTCTGGCCTCTCTACTTCACTCCCACCCACAGGGAAGCCAGGGCAAACTCTCTGCAACAGCACCAGACCATGCTCCTCCCCAGTGACAAGTCCTCCCTGTGGCTCCCCATCTCTTTAGACTAAGGAAACTCCAAAGTCCCTTCCCTGGCCAAAAGCCCCCTTTGCCCTACCCCCACCCCCCGGGAGCTGGCCTCCTCTTATGGTCTTCTTCTTCTCATACCACCCACCCCCAGCACCTCTCACCAAACTCCTGATTCGTTGGCCTTATCAGCTGGCCCCAGAGCACCATACCCAGCTCTTTCCCATCTGTGGCCTCTGCCTTCCCTCCGCTTCTGTGTGGGACAACCCACCCCAAGAACTTCCTGTGGTGGTGGCCTCCTCTTCCTCCTCTTCCTCATTCAAGTCTCAGCAGAAATGCCTTCTCCTCCCAGAGGCCTCCTCTGCCCAGCCACCCACAACAAAAGTGGAACCTGGAATACTCTCCATTCATATTTAGCAGCATTGATTTATATGTCATCATATGATAGA